ATAGTTTCTGGTTGTATATAAATTTGTAAGTTAACATTATTTTAGCTTCAATGTGAAGCTGAGACGGTATTAATTTTACTCTGATGTTTTTTTTTTTTTTTATTAAAATTAAAAAAATTGTAGGTTTTGAATAGTAAATAATAGAAAAAATGTCGAATTAAAAATGTATAGAAAATTAAATTTCAAACAACGGTTAAATGAATTTTTTTTATATTTTTACAATGAACGATTTATAAATTAACAATTTTAACGGTAAGAATAGAACATATACGTTTTTATTTTTTTAGGGCTAAATAAGAACTTTTCGAAAATTTTTGTAAATATACTTTTTATAGAAAAATTGTATACCTACAAAAAAGGTCGAATAAACTTTTTCGCAAAAGCTAAAGTTTTTGAGATAGACAAAAAAAACTAAAAAATCACCCTTAGGGGGTTATTTTTAATCCCCTTGGGGCACGTCTTAGAGTTGACCAATTGTCTCCAAATTTTGTACAATTTATTTTTTCATGTATTGGAATAATTCTAGGGGGTGGCACTTATAAATATTAAAAAAAAAAAAACCTCTCATATAGCTAACGGTCACCCTAATGTATATTGATATACAGGGTGGCCCACCACTCACTGACAATTTAAATAACTTTTGATCCAGTTAATATTTTTAGCTGATTTTTTTTTTAAACATTAGTTAGACGTTAGGTCTATAGCAATATCTCAATAATTATTTTTTTTACATTTTATTAAAAATATTAATTATCTTTAAATTTTAAATAAAATGTAAAAAAAAAATCTAAGATAGCTATTTTGTAGAGTAGAATTTAAGAAAAATTTTAGTAAAAAAAAATCTTATTAATATTCAGTAGTAAATATTCTGTAGCGTTTTGAAGTTTGTGAAAATTTGAATTTTCATGTATTATTTTACGGTATTAAACATTGAAATACGTATTGAGAAAAGGACAGAAGAAAACGCTATCTTTTCATGATTACTGTGTATACATATGATGATAATGTGTATACATTACAAACTTGGCATTAATACCATGATAAGAAATTAGATAAGGCAATTATTACTTATCACTCTCATTCAAAAGTATATTGAAAAGATAGCGTTTTCTTCTGTCCTTTTCTCAATACGTATTTCAATGTTTAATACCGTAAAATAGTACATGAAAATTCAAATTTTCACAAACTTCAAAACGCTACAGAATATTTACTACTGAATATTAATAAGATATTTTTTTACTAAAATTTTTCTTAAATTCTACTCTACAAAATAGCTATCTTAGATTTTTTTTTTACATTTTATTTAAAATTTAAAAATAATTAATATTTTTAATAAAATGTAAAAAAATTAATTATTGAGATATAGCTATAGACCTAACGTATAACTATTATTTAAAAAAAAAATCAACTAAAAATATTAACTGGATCAAAAGTTATTTAAGTTGTCAGTGAGTGGTGGGCCACTCTGTATATTTATAGTGAATATTCATCCCGCCCTACATTCACACTCTATTTATTTAAATGTTTGTATATCAATGAATAATTGCCCTAAAATTATTATCGACTATTAATAATTATTGTAAGAAAATGTCGAAAAATGACTAATTTGAAATTTCAAGTTATGGGTTTTACTCTGCTGTTTTTTTTTGGTGTTCAGATACAAGATTACTGCTGATGACATACTTTTTTGAAAATCCAATCATTAGCTAAGATACTGGAGTACTTATAAATTATAACAATTTTTTTTAAAATTTTTTATAATTTTTCAACTGAACCCTGAAATTTTTTAGGAATACATTAACCCAAATCTACCTTTAAAGCTGTATTAAATTAAAGTTAATAAAATGCATTTTAAGATGAAAAAACTATCTAAGGCTCTATTTTTTAATTAGTTAATTAATAGTCATTTTTTTCATAGCAACAAAATACCTGTTTCATTTTAAATAACTTCAAATTGAAGCTTGTTTAATACATTAAACAATTAATAAAATGTAAGATTTTCCGATGACTTATCTTTTACGATCTATTTTATAAAAAAATAATCTTGTAGTTTTAGGTTATAAGATAAATCAATTTAACTATTTCAATAATGCATGGAACAAATTGCCAAATAATTAGGTTTTCAAAAAAATATGTCATTAGTAAGACAAGTGTTTGAAGTATTATCAATAAAAATTTTTGTATTAACCTTTCATTAAAATTTATTTTAAGTATTAAGTAAATACTAAAAATATCAACATTGACTGATTTTTGATAACTGTAACTTTTTTGGTATTTCTCTTTATTACTTTGACTAAAAAGGATTTTTTAAAATTATGGTTCAGATAGCTTTAATTTGATACAGTTTTTTAACTTTTAACATATTTTTTAGTAAAATAAGTTTTGTTGGTACTGAATAATCTTGTATATGGACATAAAAAAATCATCAGAGTAAAACTAATAGCTTCTAAGATACACGTTGAAACTAAATACATATATATATATATAGTATACTCTAAGTATGCAAATATTCTTCAAAAAAAAAAGTTATAGCAAATTGATTATCGGATCAAAAGTTATAAGAGTTGTCAATATATTATCTACTGTGTATATTCATTATTGCTTATATTTATTATTAATTAATTAATTATTTATTAAATAATTAATATCAGTCCTGGGACCATATTTTGGATTTGTGTTTGTCTCAATTACAACGTGTTCAAGAACATGGTGATGGATTTTTTGTACGTACTACATTTTTTGAAGAACAATTGACTGCATTTGAAATTTGGTTAGATCACACTGCTTGTCTTCCTACCCAGCAAAGAAGTGCTCCTGAACAACTTCCTATTGTTCTTCAAGTAATCGACAACATTATTATTTTTATTTCTAATTATACTTAAAAAATAATTAATTAATAATACAAAGGTATTGTTGAGTCAAGCACATAGACTTCGAGCTTTGGATTTGTTAGGTCGGTTTTTAGATTTAGGACCATGGGCAGTTAATTTAACCTTATCAGTGGGTATATTTCCGTATATTCTAAAATTACTTCAAAGTTTTGCTGTTGAGTTAAGACCTATGTTAGCATTCATCTGGGCAAAAATTATGGCAGTTGATCATGTAAGTATTAGTGTACAAGTTTCTTTGATTCATTAATAATTAGTATTATTTTAAATTAATGTAGTCAAAATTTTGGTAATAATTGAATACCTTGTTTTGCGTATATACAACAAAATAGGTAGAAGAGGGTATATTTTTATGTTACACACTTTTCTGTTAATCATATTAACTCTAACCTTAGTAAATTTGTATTTATTAATCATTAGGGTATGAGTAAAAAATTCAACTGATCCCTATCCAGATATCTTATCCATATTGACAAAAATTAAAAAAAATATTGCCAAGAATAATCTAATTCACGGATTGAATTATTTCATAAAATAATCAATTTGTATTACAAAATAAATATTAATTTCAATATCTGTTATTAATTTATTATTATTAAATTTATTTAATATAATGCAAATAGTTTTTACAGATTTAATTAGCAATCCAGATATGAATTGAATAAATTAATCCAAATTAGGTATTGAACAAAAATGTGTTTAATTTTAGTAGTGACAAATTAGACATTATTCACTTAAGAATTTCATATTACACAATGTGTTATTAAACTTATAAAAATAGGTCGTATTTAGAAAAATTATTCTTCTTGTAAAACTATATTTAACTAAAAATGATATTTTTTATTAAATTTATTATATTATTGTTCACATAAAGTCATTATTATTTTTTCATTGAAATTCTTCGACATTTTTCAGTGAATGTTTTAATTTAGATGATAATTTTTTTTTTAAATGGACTTAATAATTAAATTCAGGATAGAAATTATAGTACCATGTTTAACACAAAACTACCACATTCCATAAAACCATTTACTAATTACTAAATAATTTACTTTTGTTATAATTTAAACATAAATAAATATTTAAAAGTATAATTTACTAAATTAAACCTAAATTATTATTATTTTTTTGTTTTTAATTTCTTTTTTTTTGATGTTAGACCTTCATAGTTATTGTTAAGATTAATACATAAGTAGAATATAGAATTTTTGTGGTTTATTTTAGTAGGCTGAATTAAAATTTTTTTCAGACATGCCAAACTGATATTGTTAGAGAAAATGGCTTCAAGTACTTTTTTCAACTAGTTGAAGATATTCAACTACCCGTGAGTAGATAATAATGTTATGTTAACTCTTGTTAACATATTTTCTGTTTTAAATTATAATAAAATTATTTTAATGTTATTTATAATTCAAGTTTTGATAATGTTAATTCAATTCAATATATAATAAAGTGGGGTGTTTTAAAATTTATAAACATTATAATACAGCCAACTTATTGGATGTACTAATTATTAATTTTTTTTTTTTATAATATATTTTTTGTTTTTCTTGTATTTTATAGAGATTTTTAATCCATTAATTTATATTTTTTATTTTAAATACGTTTGATCCATGTTTTGTAAGATGTAACATTCATAAGGAAAGTTGTTAGTAAAATTACTAATTCAATGACAACACAAATAATTTAATGGCAAAAATAAATATTTTTAGGAGGAACAAAGAATGTTAGGTGCTGTAGTATTATCTCGTTTAATGCAAAATTATAGAAATGGTCAACAATTGGGACTCAAAAATAATTTAGTTTGCATATGCCTTGAACAATTAGCTCATGCTAGTGCTCCTTATAAACAATGGTTAACATTATGTCTAGCACAATTGTGGGCTGATTATGATAAAGCTCGCTGGGTTGGAGTGCGTGATAGTGCACATGAAAAGCTTTATTTACTACTGGAAGATAAAGTGCCTGAGGTAAATAAAAAAATTACTTAAGAGTAATAACTCATTAATAAATTTAGATTAGTCACTAATGTATTATGGGTTATGTATATAATTCTGAATTGTTTTTATTCTCTTATTATGTATTCAATTTTCATTTTATGATATTTGACTTATGAAAATTATTGAAGCTAAACATATAAAGATCTTATAAGATTCTTTATCATCAAATTTTATGTTACAGAATGTTTAAAAAATTTATTTTCTGTTACCTAATACCTTACAATATTCTTCAAGGACAATGTTCAAATTTTGACAAAGTTTACATTGTTCTTAATATATAAAATATAGTGAGAAAAAGTTGTATTTAATTGTATTGTTATTATTTATAAAAATTGTATTTAAAAATATATGCTTTCCAATATAATTAAAGATTTTTACACTAAAAAATAATTTATATACTGGTTGAATCAAAAAATCCTAATTTTGGCTGATACATTCCTTTATTTCTAGACCCTAATTATGTAACTATGATACATGCATTTCATATACATTTTTTGATACAGTTGTATAATTCAGTGTCAACTGAAACAACAGTGTGTTTATGGGTGCAAAATCAAGAAAAATGTTGAATAAATTAAAGCCTCAGGGTTTAAAAAACGGTTTGAACATCAGAAAACATTGAGCGCATGTGCATGCCTTAAAATAAGTCAACAAAAGATGCTTCACTTTTAAAAAACATCTTAACCACAAATGCGTGTTGTTCTGTCTTCTACTTAATTATTGAGATATACTATTATTAGAACACTATATATACCAAACCAGACTACAAATTGCTTGCAACCTCCCTCATACTTTTTTTTTTTATAACTTCATGAATGATTTGAGATATGACAAGTTCCCATTTCTTGTAGGAGTATAAAAATATGATCTAAAAAAAATCACTCAAGTAATTTTTATTTGTTGTAAAATTCGAAAAATGTTAAAAATAGTATATTTAAGTTTAATTTTATTTAATAAAGTTTAGTTATCCTTGTAATTTATTAAGACTTTCCATAAAAAAAAGAATGATATGATTTTATTTTGTATGTATTAGTAATATTTAAGTAGTATTACATAACTATATACTTTTAGGTTCGAGCTGCAGCCGTATTTGCTCTTGGTACTTATGTTAGCTGTGATAAAGATCGTACAAACCATGCTTTGAATGTTGATCAAAGTATTGCTTTAACTTTGTTAAATACTGTTGCTAAAGACATGAGTCCTATGGTTCGAGAGGTAATGTTACTAATTTTTAAATTTATATATGTAATTCTTTTAACACTAGTCCCACTCGATATCTCTTAAAATAATAATTATGTTAAACAAATAATTTTTACTATTTTTAGTTTCATATATTTCTTGATTTATCAGCTATTAATTACTAATTAGAATCATCCCTTATAACTTATAAGGGTGTCAACTTAATTGTTTTAAATGATAACACACATATTTAACTAATTATGTATAAGAAAACACCTTCATTAATAACAAATTTTGAACCAGTACTTCAAAAGTTATTAATATTTTTATACCTAGGCAGAAGGAGGAATTCGGGCGAGAAATGTCTAATGATAAAAATAGAAACAGTGGTGCTAGACTATATTTTAAAATGCTAATAACTTTTGAATTAATTAGTTCTATTTTATAAGCTACTTAAATATATTTGTTGCCAATTAAAAATATTAAATTGACACCTGAATAAGGTATAAGAGCTGAATTTAATAATTAATTAAATTCAAAATAGTTTTCTTGACATTATTATTTTAAGAGAAATCAAGTGTCTAGCACTAAAAAAATCACTGTTTATAAATTAAAAAAAAAAAATTTATTATATAAAATTTAGATGCATAACTATTATTTCTTTTTTTTGTCCCTTCAGCAGATAAATAATTATTGTTTAGAAAAGGAAAATCAAGAATAATTTATAACATTTCTAAAAAAAAAATTTTAACCAATAATTTATTTACTGTTAGAAGAGAAGAAATAAAGCTAATTATTTTTAAAATTGTTTTACAAATCTATTTTTATAATATTTTTTAACCCTAGGAAGTAATTATAGCTCTTCAATGGACTGTAGTAGCATTTGAAAGGTACTTCTTAGAAATAGCAATGCAAAAACAAAATGAAAAAACATATGGATCTCTCTACAAAAGTAAAAACAAATAATATAAAGATTTAACATATTTATAATACTTTTTTGTTTAGTGTTTCTGTGTTATTCTTAATTATGAATTAATATTAGCATCTTAGATTTGAGTTTTATGAACTTTTATAATTTAATTTCTTATCCTTTATTGATATTATAAACTAAGCAACAATTAATTTTGTATAGCTTGTAATTTTCTCATTAATTAGGCCCTAACAGTAGTTCAAAAACTGTTAGTTTATCTAGAATAGGCTCCAAAGAAAAGCTTTTACATTCATCCACTAGTCCAATTGTTACTGTAGTTTCACCTTCAGTGTCAACTATGTCTAATATTCATGATGAACTATTGGAAGACACAAAGCCTGAATATTTAAGGCGTACTGCATCATCATCTTCCATAGTAACTTTAGGTAAAATAATTGTGTATAATCATATGTCTATTCAAATGTATATTAATGAATAATTAAAAAATTTCTCTTCACTTAATTTTGTAGTTCATAATAAGTACAATTTATAATAAAATTAAAAATTATAAAATATATTTATAGTATATATATTTTTTTATATGAACTATAGTTAATTATATTTTGTTTAGATACATACAATACCACATCAGCTGTAAATAATATCCATGCACAAATATGGAAAGGTTTAACTGCATTAGAACGTGATATATTTCCAGATGTAGCAAGTACTGCTCAGAAGTTAACTAAATATATTAAACAAAAGGTTATTATTTTGTTTAGTTTTGCTTACAATTTTTACTAACATGGAAAATTATTCTTATTAGCTTAAAGTAAAACATGAAAGTCGTTCATCACATTCCTTACCTGCATCACCATCTTCTAGAAGTTACCTTAGGTGATATTTAATTTTTTTATTCATAATTATTCTTGTAATAAAAATTTATTTGGTTAATTAGTCAAGGAGAATCGCCTCCATTATCAGTAACTGAACTTCGTTCTAGACCTAGAGGACCTATAATACAATCAAGATCTAGTTCCAGAACAAGGAATATTGTACCTAATACCGTATGTTTTAGTCTAAAAATTTAACTATTTCTAAATTATATAAATTTCTCCTTTTTCATTTATTTTATAAGAAAATTTTATTTTATATTTTATTAACAAATTACTAATTTTTAATGACATGATTAGATTGTTGAAGAAGCTACTATATTATCATCTTCGTCATCACCACCTAATGTTGAAGAAAGTGATGGAGAAAAAGACAACAATAAATCTAAAAGTCTGTTAAACTCTCATTTTTTCGAATGGGTCTCAAAAAATTTTGCTCATCCTTTGACTGGCATTAGTGAGGCAGGTGACCTTGAAAGCACAATTTATTATGAACGAGAGTGGAGGTAATAAAGCTATTTATATTTTATAAGCTATTATAGAGATTATCATAGACAATTATTTCATTATTATTTGTTAAGGTATACTCGTAATTTAGTAATTAGGAAAGATGCCCTGGAAGAACAAAGTAAAGTAAATAATTTAAATTGTAAAATAGAACATCAAATTTTTTCATCCAAATGCAATCAAACACCAAATTCATTAATGTTTCATCCATATGATCCACATGTTGTTATGGCGACCAAAGATTATTTGACGTAATTATATAAACTCTATTTTGAGAAATTATATATATTTTTTTATAGCTATATATTTTATTATAAATATTTTATACTGAAGTATTTTTCTAATTATTTTACCATCAATGTTATTAAAAATATATATAATTATAGAATATGGGATTATCACTCGAGTTATAAATTAAGTCAATGGAGACCAGATTTAAGAAATCACACTTTTGATATGCCATATCGAAATAATCCACACCTATCAACTGTAGAACTATTAAACAGCCATGACATAGCATTGGTATTAGCTGGATATAATGATGGTAATATTCAAATTTGGTCTCAGTGTACAGATGGTCCAAAATTAGTTACTGGATGGCAAGCATTACCAATTTGTAAGAATGCTGGTTTTGAAAAGAGCTCTTCAAGTAATGCACGATTATTTATATAACTAAAATTTAATTTAAAATGTATTAATTCATAATTTTTAATATTTTTAAAGTGGCATTACATTGGGATCACCGATCATGTCATTTAATATGTGCTGGTGATTCAAGAGTTATAAAAATATGGGATGTTGAGACTGAAACTAAATTAACTGCTATAACTACAGGTGTTAACGCTTCTGTTACATGTTTATCAATGCAATCTAAAGGTATTCTTATTTTTATTTTTATGTATATTCTTGATAGTAAAACGAAAATTATGAAAATAAATACTAAAAAGGACTATATTTTAATGTTTTTTAACTCGTTCTTATAGAAAATAATATATTTGCTGCTGGTTGTAAAGATGGTTCAATTAAAGTGTTTGATAAACGACTACCTCCTGATGAGGCTAAAATTGCTTCTTTTATGGAACATCAATCAAAGATACTTACTATAAGACTTCAAGATGCTACTGTGGTGTCTATTAGGTAAAATTCAACTGCAATTATCTATGGTTATGTTAATATAATAATGTTCTAATTTTTTAGTTCTAATGGAGACATAAAGACTTTTGAGTTTGGACAAAATGCTTCTCAGCGACAATTTCATGTTAACAGTATCAACTCTGCTGCTATTCATGCAACTGCTAATATTTTAGCATGGTAAGAATTATTAAAAAATGAATTGGAATTAATACACAAAGAAAATGTTTAAAACAATTATTTGTTTTATATTACAGTAGTTCAAATCAAACACTTTTGTTCTACAACACTGAGGGTCAATTATTGAACTCTTTGAGATTAACAGATTGGTTTATGAGTTCAAGATACATGCCAGTAATAACTACCAAGTTTCATCCTTTAAAAGTGTTACTTGCTACAGGTGCTATTGATGGTACAATAGCATTATACTCAATAGATCCTAAAAGATGATCTGGTCATATTTTTAAATATAATAATTTTTATTCTTGTTATTGCTCTACTTTCTTAACACTTCATAACATGACACTTTTTTTAATGTGCTCAAAAATTGCCATTCGACTGAAAATTGGTTTTATGTACTTAGTATTTTATTTATACATACATATGTGTATATATAGAAACATTTTTGTGTATATAATAATATCTTTTTATTTTTATTTTAATTAATATTATTAAATTGTTGTTATTTTGTTGATTGAATGTTTTGATCTTCTTCCCATAAGTTATTTAAATTATTTAAAATTTCAGTTATATCATCATCTCGGTAACGTAAAAAATATCCTTGAAGCTGAGCTGGTGTAATGGGTTTATTTTTATGTTTTATTTCTGAAACAAACTTTTTTTTGTTTTGGTTGCCATCATCAGGACGAAACCAATCAAATATTCCTTTTAACTGATAATCTGTACATGGTCCAATATGTAGCTTATAATCAACACGACCTGGGCGAATTAAGGCAGGGTCCAATCTAAAAATAATATTTATTTAATGGTCAGTGTAGCCAGATGTACAAATATGTTCTTTTTCATACAAACATTTAAAGTGTAAATGTAGTCTAAATTTTAGACTATTATATAAATGAACTTTTAAAAATGCAAACATTTACATACTAAGAAGCTACCATGATATAATAGGACATCTCTTTTTCTGTTAGTGAAATATGAAAAAAATAGGTTATTATTCCTATAGTTAATTTACCGACTTATGACCCATCATATACTCGATGTAAATAAGATTCTTATCTATTTTATGAATTTATTATCCGTTAGACCATAGATTAAATGAAACCAAATAGTGCACTCGGCCTAGATCAATAACGTCGTAAATAAGGCGTGCTGATTAGTGGTTTTCAAAGAGGTTTATCTAGTTACAATAGTTGAATTTATTGTACACTTCATTTATAAATTATTTATCACACTGACGGTCAACTATCAATGTTAACATTATTAACCGTTTAAAAATCATTACTATTTCCAATTGTAAAGTTAATTAATTATCATTATGTTTTAAGGTATCAAATATAATTAAAAATTCATTTTTGGTATTCAAAATAATAAAAATTTTAGATTAGATCATGTGGCAAAACCAATTTGAAAGCGCGATAGTAACGATTATTATCTCGATTTTTTTTTGACAACTTTGAGTGTACATTCTGATTTTATTTAATCAATGGTTTAATGGTATAATTACAAATTAAATGATAAAGAACCTTGTTGTTCTACAAGTGTTCAGTTTTCAGAAAAAAACTTATTTTCCGTATAAAAGGCCCTTAAAAATTGACTGTATGTGGAGCCAAAATTTTGACGTACATTAATGCAAACATTACAAAATTATTTTAGGAACATTTCACCTTTTTTTCCTGGCAACCCTGTTGGTAGTAATAAAACAATTTCAATACCCAGTTCGTGTTTGAAGACCATTTGATTTATACGTGTATTACCTACGTTCCTTTATAAGCTTTTATTTTTATAAGCTCCCAATAGTATTCAAGGTCAACAAACACAGATATTGTGCAATATTTTAATATTTATCACTTCTCATAAAAAATACGGATATTACTTTCACTTTTCGAGTATAACAATTAATAACTTGACAGAGCTTCCAAAGCACAAATGTTTACGGACAAACCAACAAATAAAGTAAACAACAATAACATAAATGAATAAACATTAATCTACTTTCAAAGTCACAAAAATAACAAAACCACATTAATCACCAACAATAACTCTAATATCTATCGAAACAAGTTTCCACAAAAAAACTAAACAATAATCTTTAACATCATAAACGAAGAAATAACTCATAAAAATGTATCATTGAGTTAAGAAAATAAGGGAATAAAAAAAGATAACTTTCATACAAGCATAGGAGTAAATGTAGGGAGACTTATGGACTTAACCCTTTAAACTAAAAAAAAAATTATATTAATAATTTTTACATAATAAAAAAATTTAGAGTTTGAGAAAAATCACTTTAGTCTCCCCAAAATTTTTTTAAAATTTATATTGATTAGTGTTAAATATAATGTCGAGCATTTGTCCTAAATTTATGAAACACAAATAAAAATTTTTTATTAAATAATAAAATTAACAAAACAATATAAAATTTATATTAAATTTTAGTTATGATATAATAGTTGTCAATTTTAGGGCATTATTTTTCTAATCCAAAATATGAATTTATTGGTTTCAAAATTAGTCATTATAAATATATACTAAATAATTAGCTTTATTCTACCTTTCTATGTAGTTTGTGGTCATAAATAGTATTCGGCCTTCAGAAGATACAATTCCATCAAAAGCATTCAGTAAACCACTTAATGTGACCTTATTACCCTCTGTATATAAAAAATATTTCTAAATAATTTCATATTAGTGTTTTTACTTTATAGTACTAACCTATAACAGTAGTTCCTTCTTTGTCACTAAACATTGAGTCCACATCTTCCAATAAAACTAATGATTGAGAAGGTACTGAAGCCATTAGATGAAGTAACTGTTCATCTGACATTTTTGTATCATTTAAACTAAGAACGCATATGTTGTAATTCAGTTCACCAGCTAATGCAGTTATTAAAGAAGATTTTCCACAACCTGGTGGTCCATATAATAAATATCCTCTACGGTAAGGTATTCCTACATTATAAATATTCATAAAAACCTAAGATCATAAATAAATTTATTTAATTTTTATTTATTGTTGTGTACCTCTGTCTTGATACCATGATTTTCCATTGTGAAAGTTTTGAATATCATTCATAATTCCATCATACACCCCATCATCAAGAATTATTGATAATTTTGATCGAGGGATACGAGGTTCTCCAAAACTTTGCCACATGTCATAAGAAGGCACAAAAATTGTTGTGCCAGTTTCTAATTGAGACATAGCATATTTCATAGCTAAAGAATGATAAATTTAATACATGATTATTTTTTACAGTAGAAATATACAAGATGAGTTATGAAGATATGACAATTCCAGTAACTTTTAATTCTATAATCATTTCATTGTAATTTTTATTAAAACAATCTTTACATTTTTAGACTAGTTACAAGCATATTTTTTATTATTTGTCTTTAATAAGAAAAAGATATAGAATTATTTTATTTTTTAGTTCTTTTGAAATTCCAAAATAGCCATTTTTTAGTTCTTTTCTTACAAAAAATATTGATGGGTTGATTATAACTCTAGAATAAGTACTTATTGAATTATAAGCTTCTAAATACATAGAGTGGATATGTAGTGTGGTTTATAACTATAGTTGAACTAAAGCAATGTGATGAACGAGAGTTCACAGATACTTTTTAACATCATACATAGTTTTAAGTATCTAGATACGAAACTAAACAGCCAAAATAATAATTACAAAGAGATTAAGAAATGTGTTGCAGCAGGTAACAGGTGTTTACATACACTATATATAATATATAATGCCTTTGAGTACCAAATATAATTGGCATAATTTGAGCCAAAAGACTAACCTGGCAAAGTCACATATTAAGGTCTAACATGATTGCAATAAGTCCTGAATTGGAATGTTTTAAGGGATCTATTGATGCTAGGAGTAGAAAGTTAAGGAAATAGCATTGGATAGAAAGATATGGAAGAAAGTGTATATTGCAGTAATGGGCCTTAATCGCTGTTGAAGAAAAAAAACTATATATTTTTGTTATTTTTTACCTTCATTTAGCATTTCATTAAGTATTTCTTTTTTTTTTCCCCAAACAGTAATTTGTATTGTTTCATATGTTGACTCATATGAATTAGAACTTTTAGCTGAACGAGTACGGTTTAATGAAATTGAATGACCCTTATATCTAAAATTTTTTAAATAAATATATTATGTTATATTTGAAAAAAAGTAAAACTAAAACTATGTAAATACAAACAATTTTTTTGACTTATAAATTAGGATACCTAAGACTCTTTGGTCTAAGCCTAAGATTGAATATAAAATTAATGTTCTATGTTGAAGAACAATGCACTATTGAATTAATGACTGTCACTAAGAAAATTGTTATGGTAGTAATCGTCTTTTCATCAGACATTTCATTATTGACATTTTTTATTTAATTGTATATTCAGGCTTTGTTTATGATAATATACAAAATATTTTATTGACTTGAAAGAACAATATACATTTTAATGTAGGTTTCTTTTAATTAGAGAAATAAAATGGAGATTTCCCTTTCAATTGATAATTTTTTTTTTAAATTATTATCTAGTGAGCAAAAAAAATAGGTGACTTTCCAAAATACACATAAATTTTTATATTTACAACATCTTTAAGTGTACTCCTAATATCAATGTCTAATTTAAAGCATAAAACTAGTTTTATTTTTAATAAAATATTTTTAATTAGTATCTAAATAAAAAATTTTATAATCAAAATTACTTGATAACATGTTCACCAGAGCTTGGTTCATATACATATAAACGCTTGTTACCAAATGAGCCTAAAATAAATATATACAAAAATAATTTAATATAGAATTCAAACTTTTTTCAGAGGATGTGTTCAAGGATCTTTAGGCCATCCTCATTTACTCCCCTCCCTATTTATACTTAATTTTACAAATATTGTATGTAGTGTCTGTGGGTCCGTTTATGGTATTACTTTATTATATATTGTTGGTATTTACTATCATCTGTTGATGGTTTAGTAGTAACACTAAAGTGAAATAAATTGTTATTGTCAGCTAGCCATTGTAACAACCAATAATAGCATTGATCCGAGTTGGCTACTTCCAACTCAGTTACATAATTTCGCCACAAATATCCTTTTACAAATCCATAAGCTTCACTCAAAGCATATGATGCAATGGAAACACCAACTAGTTGAGTTATTTTGAAAAAAAATGCATTTTGTACTAAAGCAGAAAAGTTAGTAAATTCTCTAAAAATGAAAAAGTTAATTAAATTCTTACAAGTTTTATTAAATCAAAAAGTAAATTAATAAAAATTGAAAATATAGTTTAAAAAATAAACAATTAAGGTTAATAATTTCAGGGATTTTTTTTTTTTTTTTTACAGAAAAATAATAGATTTTGTAAAACCAAAAAATAAAAAAAAATAAATTTTTTTTATCTGAAATCTTTTTATTTGTTTTAAGTATTTTATAATTCATACTTAACTCTATGGCTATTACTGCTATATATATATATATATATATATATATACATATTTGTGGGTGTAATGAATATTTATATGATTCAAAATCATTTAAAAATTATATTAATAAATATTAAAATGTATAATTTATAGTGTGTTCAGTAAGTAAGGAAATAGGTTTCTATTTTTTTAATTGTTGTAAAAATTTACCTGTTTCTTTACTTACTGAACACTGTATATATCAAAATAAATGTATTTCAACTTGGCTAAAAAAATAAAATTGAAAAGTACTAAATAAGTATTGCATTGACCAAAGAATGATAACTATAATTTTGTCCTTGTGAATGAGTGTAAATCAAAGCATTAAATTAGAGATGAAAATTATGAATATTTAAAGGAATCAAAATTAAAATTTCTGGACAACCTACATAATTATTGACTAAATTAAAAACCCCAACAAATATACTCATTTTTTAAAATAGTTTTTTTAATCGAAATAATATTTTTTGAAAATGGTGTATTAAAACTTCTAGAAGTTAAATTTGTACTCACTTCATATTTTAAATAGATTTTTTAAATAAATTCTTGAACATAAATAGATGAAAGTATACATAAAATTAATAAAAAAAATGACGATTCCAGAATTTTATTACATATTAAACAAAAAAAGTTTGTTTATGAGTAAAAAGTAAAACAATGATAAGAAATTTAATCAAATGAATAATTTAATAACAGGTGTTTATTTACAACCATATGATTTTCAAGTTCACGAGTAACGCTAATAATGTCCAGTAAATGATCAAATTTAATAGATATCAGAGACATTATTAGATAGATGTTTTGGGGACATCTTAATCGGACATTATTTTATATGATCTTTGGTTAATAAATAATGTAAATTAATTTTATAAAAATTTCTATTAAAAATATTTCTTAGACTTTAGCACCATTCTGTCTATTATCATACAAATTTTTTGTTTGAAATGTAAATATTTATTATATTCAAAAAATGGGTACAACAGGCGTGTAAATGGTGTTTGAGATATGGGTATGCATAAGTTCTTAAATCTTCCAAATATATTCTGAATTTTGATTCACTGGCATACAAAATACCTTAAATAACATTATCTGATGAGATAATATGTAAAACATAAAATTTAATATTACTGAATGCTATAATATAAAGAGTTACACACCTATTTAATACAATTAATGTATATTTAAGAAATACCAGGATATGTTTGGAGTTCTAAGTAGCTAAAGCACTTCTCTATTTTTACATATTAACTAAAAAATCCGCACTAGTTCTAAAAGAGAAAAGCTGTAGTTGATTATGAATAAAATGATAAAAACGATTTTTTTAATGTTGTAATAGTGTGCACATTTTTATATAAAAATATTTTTATGTAAAATAAAGAAAAGTAATTAGTTTTAGGTAATTATAACATAAGTCAACCATAATATTTTTCGTTTTCGTAGCAAAGTTTGACTTTACATAAATAAAATTAATTAAGTGCCTTATTAATACGAATTGGAGCTATCATCTTTATTAGAAGAGTACTAGTATTCTAATTAATAAATAGCTCCTTTAAAAATCTATTATTTTATAAAGAACAATAACATTACAAAGTTATACTCAATAAAAAGTTGTAATAAAATGTGTTGAAATGCAGAAGATTTATGCGTTTACTATTTAAGAAATTTAATGTAAAAAAATAATTTGTATTTTTAATTTCATCTTATTCATTATTTCCTCTAAATATATGCCTATTTATACTGATAAGGGCAACCTCAAGAGTAAGATAACAATCTGATTTCCAAATATTTACATATTAAAGATACAATTTGAATAGGTTGTAAAAATTATTTTTTGCCTATAATATAGCTATGCAAAAATAGTGAGGATTCCATGGTATTTTCGTTTTGTATTATAAAAACATTAATTTTAATATGTATAATATACTAGTTAAAAATATAACTACAGTGATCTATTCTGTGGATACGCAATATGGCCGCAATTAAATCAATAGAGATCGCTGTGCTCAATGATCGAATTTATATGTAAAAACATTTTATTTTATTAAATTAGTTTAAAATGTATATAAAAAATATATACAAATTGTGTGATTAATTCGATAAATGTATAAAACTCTCTTAATATCAATAAAATAATATAAAATAAATCTTGATTTTATAAAATCTTTTACAGTTAATTACTTTGTGTTGACAATACTAAAAATGTCGAACTTTTGTTCTACTGTTACGTAGCTATTATTAGTATATATTTGTAATATATTGTTTAAAACATTACGATTTTAAACACGCTCAATGAGAACGTAAGTAGAATTTATTTATTTAAATATTATTACTGAATTAATGTAAGCGATTATTATATTTAAAAAAAAATGTTGATTTAGATTTTTTTATGTACAAATTAAATATTAATTATAGTGAATGAATAAATGAAAAAAGTCCATTGAAAAATTATTGTTTTTAAACTTTTTCAAATATTAAAGAATAATTTAAAATGTTAAGACAATTTGTGCTATAATAAACTAAATTAAATCTTTTTAATTGTTTATTATTGTAGAGTAATAATTTTTAATTGTTTAAACAATTCAAAAAGTTTTTTAATACATTAGCTAAAGATTGATTTTTGCATTATGTCATTAAATCATTTTATTTTCGACTGATATTTCAAAAATACATAATTATTATGGATTTGAAAATTCTAATTAGAATAGGAAGATGTTTGAATTTGTATTTCTCAGAATGATAGCTCGTTATATAAGTAACATTAATTTTTTATTCCAATCTGTTAACCGCAAGTATACGTTGCAAGGGGACACACAGCGGACTAGACGGGATTGTAAATAATAAAAATGCATCAAAGGGCGCACGAGTAAAATGGCGGATTTCGCGGCGGTGGTACAATGATATTATTACACGAACGAATTACAATGCGACGGTCGTGTTTGTTGTAAATAGATGTATATATATATATATACGTACACCGGTGCTCACGAGGGGTGTCGCTAAGTACTCTAATTCGGTTACCGCGAGCATAATACTTGACAATGGGGAGGGTACAACCGCCACCGATTCGGTGTGAATGCGCGAAACGCTCATGTGTATGCGCGTATTATTATTATTATATAATACTACAATATTTGCCCCGGACGGGTTTTCAGGGACAAGAAGAATCGAGGGGTTAACACATGAATAAGTCAACACATTGGACTCGTAAGCGGATCACAGACCGGCTGTGGGCAAAAAAAAAAAAATACCAGGGAGACTAATGACGATTAACAACAACAAAAAAAATAAATAAATAAAAATGGCGGCCTTAAGCTTTATATATTACGGTTTCGATCATTGTTCACAATCCTCACGCAGACATCAAAATCTCTGTTTCGTATATTCATACTTTATAATATATATCCTATTGTCCCGTTTTTTTTTTTTGTCTACTGGTTTTCTAATGACGAACGGATTTAATAGTCCGTTGCAAATGTTTGAGATTAATTCTTTAAATACCCTTTATCGTGTAATATTTAGAGCCGAGTTTTTTTTATTTGTTTGTTACTCGAGCCACTTTACGTTTTGCGGTGTTGTGGTTTTCCGACTGACAGACATCTCTATAAAGAAGTGAACGATTTTTAATATGTGGCAGATAGACCGATTGGTCTCATGTTTTACGAAAAAATGTCATAAATACTTATTGGAGTTTACTGCGAAAACCATTCAGTCATCAAAAATGTTTTATAATATGTAATAATTTATAAAAAAAATTTAAATGAATATTTGGATTATTTAGAAAATTTTAGTTCGGTATAGAAAATATGATCCATTATCTTATATAATATATAAGATAGTAAGAAGAGGTTAGATGTTATTTAACCTATTTGAATACTTTACACTACATTGTTTGCACACAAAATCACTGTGTTTTTCATATAAATGTTGAACGTTTTTCAATTAATTCGTGTCATTTTTTTAAGGTTAAATATCTTTTTGTCGTCAAACAATAATTCTTTTGGTCATTGAACTGATATTTATACAATATACATATATGGAATCGTGGAGTTAAAAAAATGATTATAAAATACTGTTAATTAACAACTCTTCTAAATATTCTTTAGAATATACATACTAACATGTTTATGCGTTGTTAAATAAATAAACATGACATGTTTTACACTTCTATAATGTACATGCTTATTATTTAGTTTCTTAAAAAATGTAATAACATTTATGTATAGTTTAGGTATCGTAAAGAAAATTGTAATTCATTAAATTCTAAAACATTTTCTGATAATTTTGTGAATTTTGGTTAACTGATTCGGAATCTTAACCTGTCAAGTTTTATTTCTCAGTCGTTTTTCATTTATTCGAATGCATTTATTTTACAAATGAACCGATGTGTCCGTTGAGTGCTTAATCAACACTCTATCACACTTAAAACCAGCTTAAACACACCGACTTGGTATATGAGTATTTGGATATTTCGCTGCTGGTTGACATTAATGCTAATCGATAGCCGCCGCAGCAGTCCGGAGAACGCGCGGAGACGAAACATGATACCGCCGCTACTTAATACAATACATAAATAAATTTGAACGCCCAACAAAGTCTACGACCGAGTAATAAAATACGTCTGACAGATAATTTCTCGTATTTTTTATTCAATTAACCGTATGGCCGAGTGTTGTCTACCGAAAGATTATTCTTATTTTATGTTTGGGTGTTATCTCCACTCGTTGTTACCCGTCACACATTGTGCGTGGAAAACATTTTATTTTTGAGAATAGCGTTAAAGTCTCTATGGTTTAAAACTTCAATCGTTCGTTGTATTACATAAATAAATTAATAATTTGTATTGCCGTTAGCTCTGTCGTTAGTTATTCATATTAGTGTTCGTGTGATTTATACGTTAACGGCGGTTAAAAAACTATATTAATTTCATAATTTACACTGACCGAACGCTTTATCTTCTTTTACGAAGAAGAAATTGAAAGGATAAAAAATATTTATTTCTAATAATGAAATGAAAATATTTTTTTTTATCTGCCAGAAGTATGCACATAAATTAACTACTTTATACTTTTAGTTTTTACTAAGTTAATATTACGTATCAATGTCTACTATGGATATCCGAGCAATAGAAAGGATATTCCATTTGGAAGACTATCAATTCATAAATGTGTGTAATGAGAAGAATATATACATAATTATTAAGAATCAAATTAAATAAATTAAGTTGTTGAACGGCGTATTCTGTAAAATTTACATAACAAGTTTCTGTGAAAATAAATCGTCCTACAATTTGTACAAATAACTAATGGTGTTTATTTTTATTAGGGCTTATTTTCTTAATCCTAATATAGTATTTAAAGTTCAATAGTGGACAAACTGGGTTAGTCAGTTCGCAACTCAGTCGCCCGTTAAATAATTGTGGTAAACAAATATAAAATAAATAGTATAAGAAATAATCTATTTGAACGGTTTGAACAGTGAATCGAACCTAATTTTTATAAATGAGATATAAAAATATAGAAATTTTCGATTTTTAAGTACCAATATAAAGTGTTTTAAAATAAATGAGAGTTTGTTGCCTAACGTTAAGCGCCGTACTATTATTTTATGTTGTCATTTTAACGTTTAACTCAAATTCAATAAAAAAAATAA